AACATACACAATGTCACGAAATAAGTTTGGGTTCTTACCTGGACCGCCACCCAGGTTCTTCTTCTCTGCAAAAAAAAAGGTTAGGAGGAAATGAATATCCATATATTATTATTAATATATTGGTATTAATCATATCACTAATGTTAATAATATTGGTGATATTTCAGGAATCCAGCCTTCAGGAGCTCGGTGCTGCTGGACCCCAATCTGCAGAAGCTCAGCCCTTCATCAGCTCCTGTATATGCTAGGTCACCTGTAACTGTTGTTTAAGTTTCTATTCAGGTACTTGCACTTGGTTTCAAGCAAGGTCTCTAATTATATGCACTCGTGACAGCTACATAGACCTGCTGTTTTCTTTGGATACCAATGCTATAGCTAAAGCGGAAATACGTACGAATGTCTCTGAAGTGAATGATGAGTCTGGCCACCAGAGATAAGTACTCCTCCTAGAAACAGAAGAATAGCAGATGTTAGCTTATTTAAGTTTAAATGTTGTCAATAAAAAGGGTTAGTTTAAAGATCTAAAAAAAATGCTTCAACTTCTGGCGACAATTTCTCACAGACTTTTCCATTTTTACCAAAACAGTTCCTGAACTCACCCTGGACTTAGCTTTGCCATAGACGTGGTTTTCCATGTCACTGCTGGACTTGTTGTGAGCCGAACCCGACTTCCTCATGGCATCGTCTCTGGAAGAAGGAGAAATAAGTGATTCACCTTTTGGCGTGTCCATGTAAGTGGAAGTTAATAAGACTCATTTTATTATAAGATTAATTAATTATTATTTCCATTAATTGGTTATGTATTCTGAGTAATAATAAATGTATGTTTTATCATATAATGCATGTTATATTTGAAATAGACGGTCCTCTTCCACACAGAGTAGCTAAGCTGCTTTAGCCAAGCTTCGCCCCCAAATCAACTTCTCCACTCATGTGACGCTAGTCCAGTTTAAAGAACTTTGGTTCAGTTCTGAGTACGGGTTTGTCTAACACCCACTCTTAAGCTAAAGCGGTTCATTCAGCATATAAATAAACTCAATTCTCACATTTGAGCAACGATCTTCTGTCTAAACTGCGGAGTCCTCCAGTCACTGTCTGGTCCCGG